GAGAAATATCAAATAGGAATTGTAAGTTGATAACTATCGTCAAGGAAATAAACTGGCCAAAGCTATGAAATACATTTCTTCCACAGCCTTGCTTTTTTTATAGCTCAACACCAGAGGTCGCCAAACTTCAACATACAGCTGCAGCTCTATTTAAAGCCAAGTATGAAATAGAAGCAATCTTATTAGAAATGTTACTCCTCTGCTTAAAATCCTACAAAGGCTTCCAATAGCCTATACGCTAATGTGATCCAGCCACTGCTCAGAGCTTCAGCCTTCTTTTTCCCAATAAATTCATATTCTATCAATCCCACCTCTTCAGAACCCTAGGTTCTAATGAGAAAAACCAACAACCAACCAACCAACCAACCAACCAAAAACACCTACACCCTGACACCAGACCTTGATTTCTCAAGTATTTAGCTATTCTCCTGCCCACTGTGAGTGGTGAATACCTTTCCATGATCAAAATTCAGCTCAAGATTCTCTCTCTATGAAGCCTTTCCAGACAGCAGTAGCTCCAAATAGAAGGTTTCTGCCTTATACTCTGTTCAGACTACCAGGATAATATGTGCTTTGCTTTATTGTAATGGTGTTCCCCTCCTCTCAGTCTCGGAACTCCTTTAGGCCAAGAACCCCCTATTTTTTCTTGCCTAGCACTTAGCAAAAATTGTTCAAAAAATCACTGTTAGAACTACCTAACTAGAAAACATGTTTCATATTTCAAAATATCAGGCTTCTAACAACAATAGAATCATTACTACACATTTTTACCTCCAGTGGACTGACAGGAAATATTATCTTCTCTGGCAATTCCCTACTACTAACAGGTTTTCCTTTTGAAAATCTACTAAATATAGATAGCTAAAGTAATAAGCTCACAAATTTTACAGAATTTCTACCTCCTCCCTATATTGAGATTTTGGTGAAAGCAACCCTCTTCTTGTGGTGTAATATTTCCTCCTTAAGAGTTTCCTCCCAGTGTCAAATTGTTAAGTCAGCAACAGGAGTCACTGTGTACTTACTCCTCATTTGGGATCTCTGTCCTTAATGTGTTGTCCAATGTGAATTAATGCTATAACTAGTACTCAAACAGTATTTTATACTTTATGTTCTGTGTGGGTGCAAACTGATGAAATCTTTACTTAATATATACTAAATCGATCTTCTGTATACAAAGATAATTGAAAATGAATCTTGATGTGAATGGAATGGGAGAGGGAGTGGGAGATGGGAGGGGTGCGGGTGGGAGGGAAGTTATGGGGGAAAAAGCCATTGTAATCCATAAACTGTACTTTAGAAATTTATATTTACTAAATAAAAGTAAAAAAAAATTTTCAAAAAAGGGAAAAAAGTTTCCAAAGGGAAAAGTTCTCCCAACTTTGTTCTTTATACAGGCAGAGTAGAGTAGACAGTGAGAGACAGAGAGAAAGGTCTTCCTTTTCTGTTGGTTCACCCCCCAACACGGCAGGCGCGCTGCGGCCAGTGCACCACGCTGACCCGAAGCCAGGAGCCAGGTGTTTCTCCTGGTCTCCCATGTGGGTGGAGGGCCCAAGCACTTGGGCCATCCTCCACTGCACTCCCGGGCCACAGCAGGGAGCTGGACTGTTAGAGGAGTGACTGGGACAGAATCTGGCGCCCCGACTGGGACTAGAACCCAGAGTGCCGGCACTGCAGGCGGAGAATTAGCCTAGTGAGCCAAGGCACCGGCCCCTCCAAAAGCCAAAAAGCAAAAAGCTATGGTAGCAGTAGTACAAGTCCTAAGTCCCAAGTAAGAACTTAAGTAGAGAAAAGAACAGTAACTTGTCATGGCACTTGAACCAAACTTAACAATTCGAGTATTTATTCACCCTAGGGAGGGTGAATGAGAACAGTTAACCATAGTTGATCTGCTTCCTCCTTGTATTTTTGAGAGGAGTGGGGCTGTCAGGTATAAACCTAAGAAGTGCTCTAGAATCATCTGTAGTGACTATGGTCAGTTTAACGTCTTCCTTAAAATATGGTAGAAACAGTATGACTACCTTAACAATAGTTCCACAAGCACATACTCTCATTCTAGCCCTTTTTAGAAATAATTAGTGGTTTGATTGAAATACATTTGACCTATCATGGAATCTACCTTTTAAAGACACACAGTTCAGTGACTTTTTAGTATGTTCACAGGTGTCACTGTTACATACAAAGAGCAGTCAGTCCCATTCTAACTCCAGCTACTGACAACCATTAGTTTATTGTCTGTCTCCCTGGATCTTCCTATTTTTGATTTTCAGATGAGGGTACTTTAAAAGGCCTGTGACAAATGGAACTGAGGAGCCAGCATTGTACCATGGCACGTTAATCTGCCAGCATCACAAATAGGAGTGCCTGTTCAAGTCCTAGCTACTCTGCTTCTGATCCAGCTTTCTGCTAATGTACCTGGGAAGATGGCCCCTATCACCCACGTGGGAGAACAGGATGGAGTTTCTGGCTCCAGCCTGGTTCAGTCTCGGCTATTAAGAGACAGTCTAGTCCCGGTCGGGGTGCCGGATTCTGTCCCGGTTGCCCCTCTTCCAGGCCAGCTCTCTGCTGTGGACAGGGAGTGCAGTGGAGGATGGCTCATGTCCTTGGGCCCTGCACCCCATGGGAGACCGGGAGAAGCACCTGGCTCCTGCCTTTGGATCGGCACAGTGCGCCGGCCACAGTGCGCCGGCCGCGGTGGCCATTGGAGGCCATGGAAGGCAATGGAAGACCTTTCTCTCTGTCTCTCTCTCTCACTGTCCACTCTGTCAAAAAAAAAAAAAAAAAAAAAAAGAGAGAGAGACATTTGGGGGCATCAGTGCTGTGGTGTAGCGGGTAAAACTGCCACCTGCAGCACCGGCATCCCATATGGGTGCCGGTTTGAGTCCCGGCTGCTCATCTTCCGATCCAGCTCTCTGCTTTGGCCTGGGAAAGCAGTAGAAGACGGCCCAAGGGATTGGGCCCCTGCACCCACATGGGAGACCTGGAAGAAGCTCCTGGCTCCTGTCTTCGGAATGGCGCAACTCCGGCCATTGCAGCCAAATGGAGAGTGAACCAGTGGATGGAAGGAAGACATCTCTCGCTCTCTCTCCTTCTCTCTCTTTGTAACTCTTTCAAATAAACAAATAAATCTTAAAAAAAAAAAAAAAAAAGAGAGAGAGAGAGACATTTGGGGAGTGAGTCACCAGATGGAAGATCTCTCTCTCTCTCTCTCCCTTTACAATAAATTACAAAAAAAAAAAAAAAAAAAAAAAAAAAGGTTGAAACCAAGTATGAGTTATGAGTTTATTTTGGTACAAAGAATCAGGAGAGCAAAGAAAATGTTTTCATAATATATGGAAAAAGTACTGTAAAAAAAACCCACACATACATACTAAAAATTTTTTGCAGCAAAATAGACTCATGCTTCAAATTCCATTTTTCAATTAACTTTTTGAAGTACTCTCACTGAAATGAAGTCACATAGTATCTGACATTTTGTGTGTAATATTTACTTACTCATCCATTCAACAGCTGATAGATATTTTTTGTTCCCATTTTTTGGTTATAAATAATCCTCATGAGCTTTGTGTGTTAAATTGTATTTGGGCACACTTTCAAATTCTCTGGGGCACATACAATTATCAATTGAACTGCTGGCTCTTATGGTAACTCAATGTTTAATGTGCAGAAGGGGGCATGGTGCTTTTAAAGAGGTCACACCATTTTACAGCCACATCAGCAAAAGTATGAGGGTTCCAATTTATCCACATCCTCACCCACACTAGTTAATGTCTCTTTATTTTTGCCATTCTAGTGAGTACGATATAATATTCACTACCACATCAGATTTTCATTTCCTCAATGATTAATAATGCTGAGCCTCTTTTTGTGTGTATTGGTTATCCACATATCTTTTTTGGATAAAAATTTATGCAGATTCTTTGCCCATTTTTTTCAGAAATTCTGTTTATATATCAGTAGTCCATCCATACACACAGGTATTCATTCTTTCATCTTATAATATTCACATACTAAATAATTATAAGTATCTTCTATGTGTTCTACTGAGTATTAGCAGAGAAAACATGTTGAACAAAGACATACTTTCTGCTTTTTTATATTTTAGTGAGCTTATTAAGTACTTTAAATAACAGATATATCGATTTAAAATTAATTTATCATTTTTTATTTATTTGAAAGAGAAACAGAGAAAAAAAGAGAAGTCTCCCATGCAGTAGTCCCACGCAAATGCCTGTAACAGTTAAAGCTGGGCTAGGTTGAAGCAGGGAGCCAGGAACTCAATGCAGGAATCCCATGTGGTGGCAGAAACCCAACTACCTAAGTCATTGTGAGCCGCATCAGCAGGAAGCAAGAATTGGAAGCAGGACCAGAATCTGAACCTAGGTACTCTGATACAGAAGGTAGATACCCCAGAGTCTTAACCTCTGCATCAATCAATTGCCTCAGCGCATATATATATATATATATATATATATATATATAATACCTTTTCCATAGTCATACAACAGAACAGCAGCTAAATTAGAAACCAAAAGGTTGGTGAACTTGCTATGTACTTCTGGATCACTTTCTCCATTTTTTAACTTTCCTGTCAATGTGTGTTTGTGTTATATCATTAAAACAGCACCAAAGGCCGGTTCTGCAGCTCACTTGGTTAATCCTCCGCCTGCAGCGCCAGCATCCCATATGTGCACCGGATTCTAGTCCCAATTGCTCCTCTTCCAGTCCAGCTCTCTGCTGTGGCCCAGGAGGGCAGTGGAGGATGGCCCAAGTGCTTGGGCCCCTGCACCCGCATGGGAGACCAGGAAGAAGCACCTGGCTCCTGGTTTCAGATCGGCACAGCGCCGGCTGTAGCGGCCATTTGGAGAGTGAACCAACGGAAGGAAGACCTTTCTCTCTCTCTCTCTCACTGTCTATAACTCTACCTGTCAAAACAAAAACAAAAACAAAACAAAAACACCAAAATTCCTTCTAGTTCAAAATCTCAGGTTTAACCTTCTCACCTTGATTATTTCCACCAACTGATCCACACCACTGTCTCCTGGAAATATTGGCTGTCCTAGCAACAGCTCAGCCAATACACAGCCTGCAGACCATACATCTGAAGAGGAAAGAAAACAAAGGCTTATTAATACTTTGTAGTATCAGATTAAAAATATTTATACACATTTTTAAATTTTATTTTGATCACAGGGTAAATATAAAGATTGTATAATCCAAAACAGAAAATAGTTATAAAACTTCAATGCATTTTTAAATTAAGCACTGAATTTGCTAAGCAGGAAATAAGGCCTGTAAGAATATTCCAATAACATGTAAAGTCTATTATTGGCAAACATCAGGTATTCAAGTCTTCAAATGGCAACACAAGGGAATACAGTATCAAAGCTATGGCATGACTATCTACTTACACTTAAAAATGTAAAAGTGACACAATCTTTACACATTGATAGGTGCTCACAGAGAGGAAGTAAGCAATCCTCCATACATACTGGGTTTTAAGCCAAAGCAAATTCTCAGAAAAATTTTTAAAACTTTAAATGGTTGGCTATTATGTTTTAAGATGACTGACAGAAAAATGTGAAAAATGTACTTAAATCTACTATCATTATTAAATGTAAAGGGGTGACAAAAAAGAATGTATTTTATTTCATATATTATAAAATAATTCACTTTTAAATCAATTCAGAAACTGCGATACTGAAAGAACACTTTTAAAAAGTAATAATTTAATAAATGTATTAAATTTAAAAAACAAATTAAAGCACATATGCTGGCCTACCCAGGATAATCTTTGGTTTATATCTACTGTCCTGACATAATTGTTAATAGCATCCTCTTTTTCTCTTACAAGTTCTACCAAGATCCAGCACTGTGGTACAGTGGGTTAATCTCACTGCCTGAGAGGCCAACATCCCATATTAGTACCATCTCTAGTTCCAATTGCTCCATTTATGATCCAGCTCCCCTGATAATGCACCCAAAAGAGAATCAGAATATAGTCGAAGTGCTTGGCCACCTGAATCCACATTAAGAGACCCAGATGGAGTTCCAGACTCCTGGCTTTAGCCAGGCCCAGCCCTGGGCTTCTGGGGAGCGAATCACTAGATGGAGGAAATCTCTAACTCTGCCTTTCAAGATTTCCTGCAAGCATAGCTGCTTTTCAATTTCGAAATTCCTGAAATTCCAGGCTTATTTGTATCAATACTCAAGCGCTTTAGGGAGATGGACATAAATCATTGCTAGGCTTTCCCATCTACCAGTAAAAAGAGAAAAACAGTGAAGGACATGGAGACAAAAAACAAATTTTGATGCAGTAAGATGTACTGTTAAGAGATATTGGGGGGCCAGCACTGTGGCTTAGCAGGTAAAGCTGCCACCAGCAGTGCCGGCACTCCATGTGGGCACTGGTTCAAGTCCCAGCTGCTCCACTTCTGATTTGGCTCTCTCCTGTGGCCTGGGAAGGCAGTGGAAGATGGCCCAAATCCTTGGGCCCCTGCATATGCATGGAGACCCAGAGGAAGCTCCTGGCTCCTGGCTTTGGATCAACACAGCTCCAGCAGTCATGGCCACCTGGGGAGTGAATTCTTTCTCTCCCTCTACCTCTGCCTTTCAAATTAATGAATAAATCTTTAAAAAGAGAGAGAACAGTTGAAAAGCTCTGCTCCAGTGACTACTTTTTACTTACCTAGAAAAATGACACAGAATTCATTTAGGAAACTCAAGTAGATTTTGTCTAGTACCTATTCTGCAACATAGAGCAAGTCCTACTTGATAGATTAGGAAACTGTCAAATGAAGCAAACATACGAAAATCTGCTAAGGACTTTTTTACTTCAAAGTCAGTATTAAAAATAATGCTTGTTCAAGTGGAAAAGATGCAATTTCTTATTAATCTAAATTATTTATTTTGACCTAAGTTTTAAAAATATGCTTTTACTTGCTAATTAGACAGAAAATAATATACACTCACTTCTTTCCTCTTTATTACAGAGTAATTCCTCTCAGAAGGCAAGGTTGGAAAAACTGCAGAGGAATAATTATGCCTTCATAAAAAAATTACAACCATGGGAAACACTTTCTTATGCAGTACTCTGCTACAAACTTGGAAGTCAGGTAAAACATCAAGGAACACTATAATCTAGTGAGTAAGTATCATGGAAGATCAATAATCAAATGCTTCAGGTGACAACTATATTAGTGGTCTCCAGTTCATAATATACCAAATTACTAAAAAGAAGGTACTTAATTCTTTCTGGGAGATACTGAAATCTCTTTTCTTACTTTAAACAACAAATGGATGCAATTCTCTAAATTGGATAAAACTATAACTATACAGAAGCATTACCAAAAAATTACTTTATCCTACTGAATTTCAGTTATCCGAGGTGTAAGGCAAAATTACACTTTCAGTACCTATAAATCACAGTACAGTTCTATTTCAAGAGTATCTAGTTTAACAAATTTACTTTACATATAAGAAAATTAAGGCACTGTAAAGTTAAATGACTTGCTCAAGGTAAAGCTACTGAGGAACACAGCTAGGTCTAGAACCCATTCTCAGTTCTCAATAAAGACACCACTGTTTTCAGTAACTGTCTCACTGCCACGGAAGAGCAGCTTATTTAAAGGTCTTGTAAAAGCTCAATTCATTGTGCTAACAAGGGACTATATTTCCATTCTGCCTGTCAATCTTAGATCTGGTTATATATGAGAAATTTTCAAAAAGTCCATGGAAAATGTGTATTATGAAAAAGTATGCAGGGACTTCAAAAATATTTTGCTTTAAAATAAACTTAACTTTTTCTTTGCTTTTATTTATTTGAGAGGTAACCAGAGACATGGGGAAGGAGGGCAGAGAAAAAAGTAGACAGAAGGAAAATTCTTCCATCCATTGCTTTACTGCCCAAAAGCCTGCAGTATCAGGGACTGGACAAGACCAAAGCCAGAAAATGGGAACTCAATTTAGGTCATCAATGTGGGTGGTAGGAACGCAATTACTGGAGCCATCACTGGTACTGGCAGGAAGCTGGAGTTGGGAGCAGAAGCCAGTATCACATCCAGGTTATTGGATGTGAGACGTGGATATCTTAACCAATAGGCTAAATGCCCACCCATTTCCCACGAACATTTTTTATTTTTAAAGATTTTATTTATTTCCAGAAGGCATCAAAACAGAGAAAGGATTAGAAGGCCTTCTTAATGAAATAATAACAGAGAAATTTCCCTTTCTGGAGAAAGAAAGAGACATCCAAGTTCAGGAAGTACACAGAACTTCCAATAGACACAACCAGAAAAGATCCTCACCTCAACAAATAGTGGCAAAGTTCTTCTCAGTAACACATAAAGAAAAGATCCTAAAATGTGCACGAGAGAAACAAATTACATTCAGAGGAAACCCAATTAAACTCACCCTGGACTTCTCATCACAAACCCTACAGGCAAGGAGAGAATGGCGAGACATACTCCAAATCCTAAGAGAAAAAAAACTGTCAACCCAGAATACTGTACCCTGCAAAGCTCTCATTTACGAATGAAGGAGAAATAAGGATCTTCCACAAAACAGAAATTGAAAGAATTTGTAACTACTTGCCCAGCCCTATGAAACATACTCAGATGTGCTACACATAGAAATAGGAACATCACTAAAAAAGAAGATAATTACCCAGCAAAAGAACAAATGAAAACCAAAGTACATAAACAGAACTATTTACAGAAACATGACAGGGCAAAGTTGGTACTTAACAATAGTAACACTGAATGTAAATGGTTTCAACTTCTCAGTTAAAAGACAGATTAGCTGAATGGACTAAAAAAGAAAACCTATCTATTTGTTGCCCGTAAGAAACACATCTTACCAACAAAGATGCTCACAGACTGAAAGTGAAAAGATGGAAAAAGATAATCCATGCTAACAGAAACCAAAAAAAGAGCTGGTGTGGCCATCCTAATATCAGACAAAATAGACTTTAACACAAAAAGCATCAAGAGTTACAAAGAAGGACATTATATAATGATCAAAGGATCAATTCAACAGGAAGATGTGACTATTATAAATGTATATACACCTAACTAAAGGACACATGGCTATTTAAAAGAAATGTTAAAGGATTTAAAGGGAGATAGAGTCAAATACAATAGTAATGCGGGACTTCAATACCCCACTTTCTGCAATGCACAGATCAATCAGATAGAAAATCAACAAGGAAACAACAGAGTTAATCGACACCATTGACCAAAAACACCTAGCAAATATCTACAGAACCTTCCACCCTACAAACAAAGAGTACACATATTTCTTTCTGGTACATGGAACTTTCTCTAGGATTGACCACATGCTAGGCCATAAAGCAAGTCTCAGCAAATTAAAAAAAAAAAAAACTGAAGACATACCATGCATCTTCTCAGACCACAATGCAATGAAGCTGGAAATCAACAAATCAAAAATCTCTACATCATATGCAAACACATGGAGAATGAACAACACATTACTCAATGAACAGTAGGTCATAGGAAAAAAATCAAAAAAGAAATCAAAAAATTTCTGGAAACAAATGAAGATGACAATACAACATACCAAAAGTTGTGAGATATAACAAAAGCAGTGTTGAGAGCAAAGTTTATAGCAATTGGTGCCTACGTCAAGAAACTAGAAAGGCACCAAATAAATGAACTATCTATGTACCTCAAAGATCTAGGGGGAAAAAAAAAAACAGCAAGCCAAATCCAAAAGCAGAAGAAATAATTAAAGTTAGAAATAAAAAAAAATTGAATCCAAAAAAACACAAAAGATTAACAAAATGAAGAGCTATATTTAAAAAAATGACACACCATTGGCCCAACTAACAAAAAAAAAAAAAAAGGGAGAGAGAAGACCAAAATCAATAAAATTACAGATAAAAAAGGAAATGTAACAACAGACACCACAGAAATAAAAAGAATCAACAGAAATTACTGCAAAGAGATGTATGCCAACCAACTGGGAAACCTAGAAAAAATGGACAGATTCCTGGAGATATACAACCTACCTAAATTGAGCCATGAAGACACAGAAAACCTAAACAGACCCATAACCAAGATGGAAATGGAATCAGTAATAAAG